CTGGATGTTCTATGTGTTTCTGTGTCTGACTTTGCTAACAGCAGGCTTTGTTGAAAATAGATTCCCCAAGTATTTCAAGTGGAACAGAGTGGCGTGGTGCTTCTGGCATGCCATCAGGCCTGTAGTGTCTGGAGTGAACTGAACAATGGTGATATAGCTTAGAAAAAACTGTGGTGGTTGAAGCTTGGTAATACCTTACCTTACTGTGACTTATATTTATGTACAGAGGCCTTATCACACACCCAATACAGTTGTGCAAATTCACACTATTGGTGATTATAGCTGACAATCAGCTGTTTGTGTTTGTGCTTTTATGGATGCATTTCATTTTCCTGATAAAAAAAACGTTATCTCATATTTTTAGTTTTTCTTTTCTAGTTGCTGGGCAAAAAGACCATTATGAATTTTTTTTACTGCTGGGCTACAAATCTTAATATTTGTCCTCACATTTGAAGCGAAAGAAGACCATGCGGTCACTTCTTCAGCACAAATGTGTTGAATTAACCACGGCAATCTGGTTGTGAAATGGTGTTACATCCACTCTATGACAATTTGGCCTGAGGCATGTGGTGACAGGAGAATCATGCTGTGTAGAAAAACTGAATCTCATTCTCCTGGGAGCATGAAGATCGGAATATCCTTTAAGTAAAACTGGAACTTTTGGCTTGCTGTAGGCACTAGAGAAAAAAGGGAGCCCTGAGAAATGACTGACTTCAATCCAGTAACTGCAAAGCTGTGATTATCCTAAGTAAAGTCAACTATTAGAGAGTCTTGCTTACTTGCAAGAAACTGTGAATGTCAGCAATCAAGAGGAGATGTGACAATTAAGAGCATAGTAAATATCAGTATTTATTAGCATTTACATCCTTTAGACATTGCATCACTGTTTTTGCAAAATCATGATCCTGGCCTTCAGGTGTCCGAGCTATACAAGGTTCTCTTTGAAGGAAGATAATGATTAATTCATTAAATCAGTGACCTAATGATTGATGCATTCTTAATCGCACCAAAAACAGCTGTGCAGTTACAGTCGAGTAGACTGCACGCGTCATAGTTTCCTCTGCCTGTGAAATAAATCAGCAAGTTGCACCACTTAATCACTTTAAATTTCTGAGGTCACCTGAAACAGTTACGCCTATGTGCTGACTACCATTAGCCTGTCATTGATACATTAGGGCCATAATTACTTCTAGGAATCTGCTCTTGCATACTTTGGTCCATAACTTCGGCATTTGATAAATCCACCTCCATATACATGACTGAGTGCACAGACAGTTTGTCTTCCTCGCTGATCTCCACCAGAAGAATGATTTATAAGAACTGCATAAAAGGGGTTTAATATATCAGCAAACATTGGTAAGAGTGCAGGGCATATTGCTTGGATGGTGGCTTTCCTTGGGACTTAAGTAGCGCTGGTGGGGCAGTGGTTAGTGCGAGCGCCCCATGCATGGAGGCTATAGCCCTCCAAGCAGGCGGCCCAGGTTCGAATTACAACCTGTGGCTGCTATCCCGCATGTCATTCCCAACTCTCTCTCTCCCTGATTTCCGACTCTATCCACTGTCCTGTCCCTCCAATAACAGCAGAAAAAGCCCAAAAATAAATCTCATAAAAAGAAAATTAGAAAGACTTTATGCACATGGTTACAAAAACAAATTTAAAAATACTTATGTTAACCTTGTCCAAACAGTTGTTGTTTAACCAGCAAAAGACTATGGTGTCCCTTTAGATCCTCTTCATTAGTGGCTGACCTTGATTGTCTCGCCTGAGGATGGTGTAGCGTGTGATGCCAGCCTCCGAATTTTTTCCTTGTTTGTTTCAGGTAATTACAAGTTTGAGATATCACACTAATAGTAAAAAGAAATGGTAAGAAAAACTTTGGGTTATGTTCTCATAGTGGGTCCTGATGCACTGCTGGCGTTGCAGATGACAGAAAACTGATGACAAAATTGAGCAATCTTTTGGTATTGATGATATTCAGTTGACAAATCTCACAGGTTAGAACTGATATTGTCATTTGGGCCCAGTTTTTTCCGCTTGTATTTGTTCAAAATTTAGCAACTTGAGACGCTTCATTAGCTATTAACACTTCCTGTTTGTAGGCTTCCCAAGAAAATACAAACAATGATCAAGTGAATAGCATGATGCTTAAGATGCTTGTCATGTCTCAGTCAAGTTATAAAGTGTCTTGTCTTAAGGGTTTTCTTTGCAGTTTTATAGCCTTCCTTCACAATTGGTACTATTAGCTAGGACATAGCAGGAAGTTCAAAATCAAACTGATTGACAACACTTTATATTCACATCCATGTGTTTGGATTTCTTTTGAGTAATTACCAGGTAAACTTTGTTTATGACTCAAAGTGCACTCATCTGTAAAAAGCGTTTGGTTTTCTTTTTTGGTTTTGTCTCAAAGTGAACCTATTTAGATAAAGCATTTTGTTTTCTTTTTAGGCTTTGTCCACCCGAATCTTTGTCTCTGTTTAAGATCATATACTGTGATATAATGACGACATGCAGCCAAGTAATCAAACAGGCTGTAACTTACCAATGATGAACTAGTCCAAGGATGAGTGCTTTAGTTACAATAAAAACTGCACATTTGCAGAGTCATTGGTACTTGAAACTCACTCGGCTACCTACTCTGGCCTTGCCCATATTTATCACTCTGACATGAAATAGATACAACTTTGATCAGAGAGCACAATGCACGAAACCCCACCCTTTATTCTGTCACTCAGTCACCCCAGAAAACATTTTTCAACAGTGGGTACATGTTGGAGATGGACTGAAAAAGAGGACTGTAATTATCTTACAAGGATAGGATCATGTAACAAGAACAATCTTCCAAGCACTAACCCCCTGTGCACGAACCAGGTGCGATCAAAGATGCTTAATTCACATGCACACAAAAAACTTGAATGAGATCATCTTTCATATCAGAGCCAGCACCTCTCTTTCACACTTCAAATAGAAGCATAGACAACTTTTTTTGATTCAAGGACAGAAGTGCATCTTCTGAGTCATGTAATCTCGTTCAATTTATTCAAACATGCCCAGTGTCTGCTCTGAAGTCTTTGCGGCGTGCCTCGACTGTTCCGTGAAGTACTTACAAGTTCCTCAATACTTTGTCAAGTTCATATCTATTATCTCCTTTACACTATAACTTACTACAGGCTAAAAAAAAAAACATTCAGTGAAGTTTGACAAATTTAAGCATATTTTGGCATTTTGGGTCACATACATTGGTCTCTTCAAATTGGTAGGTTGGGGGTTCGGAACCCTTACCTCCTGCAAACGCAGAAGTGTCCTTGGGAAAATCACTGAACCCCAACTGGATCACGTTGGTATAGCCGGCGGAATATGAATGTTTATGAAAGGGATTAGTTGATACTGATGGGTACTTTCCATCGTGTCATCTGCCATCAGCCCAAGTCAATTTACCATTTATACCCTCAATCCCAAACCTAGTAGTCAGGGTGTTGAATTAAATGTACCAAATGATACCACTCGTGCATGTAACTTAAGTAAAAAGCGACCTCCAGCAGGCGACATCTGGTTGCACGGTTCTGAAAAACAAAAAACCTAACCCAAGGTATGTACTGATTGTGTCAGTAGGAAGAGATTATATTTGTTATTAAAGCAAAACGGAGACACAAATTATGCTGTGAGGTGGGAAGATGGCAGCACCCATGAGTGAAGCAGCTCTTGGCTCTTCAGATTCCACCATCCGACTGTGTCGTCCCAACCACTGCCTGACGCCCAGCCTCCACCATCAGACTGTTTCATCCCCACAACCACAAATGTTATCAAATAGTTGTTGTCACCTTTTTGTTTTGGTTCTATGTGATGATAGCATTGATTTAAGCAATGATAGCACTGATTTAATGGTTTAATAATGTCCATGCACTTCAATGTGCCTCTGCCAGATATGTTACCAAGTGATTTATTTCAAATGTAAAACAAAATTGTTTTCTGTGTGTGTGAAGGAGGAAGAATGACATCAGACAGAGAGAGATATTGTGTTACTGGTTATTGCCACTCTCTATGGTTCTGTGCAGTGATGACATTGGGTTAATTCTGTTCAAGCCCTTTGATGTACCTTTGTCACAAATTATGTGACTAAACTTTTTTCAAATGTGAAATAAAAATAAATGTTTGTATTTCACTACATTCATTTGCTGGGTTTTGTCCGTCAAATTTTTGAAAATGTCTGGCCCTCTTATATTTCCTGGTTTTTAAATCTGGCCCTTTTGAATTTGTAATTGAATAGCACTGTCCTAGTGTGTGTTGTTACTGTTACATTCTTGAGTTCTCTGTGTGTCTGTAGTGTTTCCTGTTTTGTTTTGTAGTTCTTGTCCCCAGTGTTTCTGGACTTGTCTTACTTCCTCCCTTTGGCTGGTTTCCCTCCCTTTTATCGCTCTGATTGTCTTCACCTGTGTCTGATTACCTCAGTGTCTATTTAGTCTCAGTGTTCCTTCCTGCTCTTGTTGTCAGTTTATTGTCAGATGTATTCCAAGTGTTCCCAGTGATTCCTCGTGGCTCTTTTTTTTTTTTTTTTTACTTGGACATTTTTCAACTCTAAAGACGTAGGCTTTGTTTTTACTTTGTGGTCATTTGTTTCATAAAACCTTTCCTGAGTTCTGCAATTGGGTCCTTTTCCTTTATTTAAATATGTAGAACAGTGAATGGTGAGTGTGATGTAAGCATGTGACCTTAACACTTATATGAACCAACCAGGAGTGGTGATCTTAATCTCGTTGTATCCTATTGTATGTCAAACGATTTCCATTCATAAGTGAAAATTCCTACTGACCAAATTTGCTGTGAGAGAACAGGAAGTTGAAGTTGTTTTGCTCGCCAGCAGAAAGCTGGTTGCTACAATGCTTTCAAAAAGAAAACAGAATTGTGCTGCCCTTGTAATCTGAACCACCCTGTGTGCTTAAACCTCTAAAAACAAGACTATATGTCCATCCATCCATCAATTGTCTTCTGCTAATCCAAGGTCAGGTCATGGTGGCAGGAGGCAAAGTAAGTCAAACCAGACTTCCCTCTCCCCAACAACGTGTTCCAGCTCCTCCTGGGGGATTCAGATGCCTTCCCTGGCCAGACAGGATATATAATCCCTCCAGCGAACTCTTGGTCTACATCGGGATCTCCATCCAGACAATATGGTTTTTCCATTTTGCAGAGAGAAATAGGGGTAAGCGAACTATGTGGTTATGATGATTTCAGATGCTGTTTGCCATTTTGTGCATGCATAATCAGAAACGATTATGCATGTGCTTTCACTGTGGAAGAGTATGCAGTGCTGAGCAAAATTTCTGTAATGCCAAATATCCATTCAACCAGTTTGGTAGCATCTGATCTGGTTGGCAATTGAACTGAAGTTCTACTGACTTCAGAATCAGTCGTGCAACTCAAAAATTGGGTTAGAAACGGCCTCAATTCGCTCAGTGCAAACCTGGCCTTAGATGTGGTTGCACTTTACTCAAAAAGATTCAGCCAAGAGAAAGCATTATGATCTCTCCTTCCCAATTCCCAACACTCACTCCCTCATTTGCGCTCAACAAGCATTTTTTTTAGAAGCCTGTGTTTAACAAATAAAAGGCTGAAACAGTGACTGTAATTACTCTTTAAAGAGAAAATCTGCAACCAAGGTCCCCACTCAGAGAGAATAAAACTCAAACTGCTTCAAACAAACTGGTTCTCTAAATGTATGAAATTCAAACACACCCACACAAGCACACTTACATGTCACAGTCTAGTAACTAGATGCTATTAGCTGGCAGATGCTACCCCTAGTTATACGGCACATAGTTTCATGATGTTCTTCACAAGACACATTTGAAGGGAAAAAAAAAACAGCGTTTCACCTTGATATTCGCTGTGGAGAGTTTTATTTGTAATTTTGAATGTATGTGCTCCTCCTTTTGTTTATCATTGTTGCCCAGAAAATTAATGTTGTAAGACAAATGTCTCTTCCTGTGCAAGGAATATATACTGCAGACAGTTTAGAACTGAGGCTAACAACTTTGTGATCTTCAACCAGGTCCAGTGGCCTTTTGGATATAATGTAGAAGTGTGTTATGACTGTCTACATGAAGCAGACAAGAGGACAATATGGGCATTAACATTATATTGTGGAGGTGTGTCTCCTCACTTGTTCATGTCTGCTCTTTTGTTGATGTTGCGATTCTGTCGGACTGCAATGATAAAAAAGGAAAATATTCTCATTATAGCGGACACTGTTGCCTGTTCTGTCACTTCTATATTTTTCTTTGTCATTCCCCGGATAGTCTCCCGCTGTGGAGTGCATGTGATAACAACCAGATCAGAAGGATTTCAGGGGCAGTCCTCCTGAAATTCTCTAGAAATGTTCAGTCTCTTTGTTCACTTGTTAATGTTTGGACACATCTACACATCCTTAGGTCTGAGTGTGAAGTCAGAGATTTTGCGGCTGCTGCTGTCATGATGCATTCACAGTTACAGCCATATACTGTATCATTAATGAATGACTTCAGCATGAAGACGAGGTCTGTGCAGTTTGTCCTTGAACCTGAAATCACTACATTATTACTGGCCTGTTTTGATTTCTGTATTGATCTTTAAGGAATAGACATGCTGTAGTGTCATGCATGGACACAGCTTTTTTTCAGCACACATTTATTACATTATTGATAAATGCTGAGGAAGACGTTTATGAGATGACCTTAACCCAAATGGATTTTCTCGTGGTATGTTAATTAGATTTCACATATTTTCTCATTATAATCGGTGATGCAAATATTGAGTTCTTGCCTTGTGGAAGTTTTTTTTTTTTTTTTTTAAGTGAATACTAACAAAAATTCAGTATTGCCTTCAAAAGCCTTACAATTTCAACTCTAATTTCCTGAGCTCCTGGGCAAACAGAGGATTGGGGTTGCTGTACTCTGCAGTGATCTCTCTCTCTCTCTCTCTCTCTCTCTCTCTCTCTCTCTCTCTCTCTCTCTCTCTCTCTCTGAGGATGTGTATGGTGTACAGTATGTCACACAACTGCTGCTCGCTCAATCAAAAGCATCTCAGGTCATCCAAGAGTGTTTGGTTTTTCTCCCACAGCCTCCTAGCTCCATCTATTGACTGTGATCCTCATAGGTGGGGCTAAAGGTGGGGATCGCAGCAATGACAGTCTCCAATGCAACATGTCCAGACTTTTAATTTACTCAAGATAGAAATCAGAAATCAGATTTTTTTTTTTTTTTTTTTTCCCCAGGGCGCAGCTGCACACACATTTTTCAAGTGACAGAAAGGGACATTCATCTGTCAATGCAGCATGATTTTTTTTCTGGGTCTGGGATGCCTTTTTGGTAACACAGTTCTCCCTAGGGAAGCCAAGACCACCCTGGTGGTAATTTCAATGCTACTGAAGATAACAGGAGGCTTCATTCTGGGTCTGTCAAATCAAGTTGTTATCTTCAAAAGTTACAGGTTTTTCAGTGCAAAAATTTTTCCTCTCTCTCTAATGCCGCTGCATCCAACCAAGAACAGAAATGTACAAACACCAACTGAGAATTTGGTTCTAAAAAGACTTCAACTTTGGAAGATGTCGATTTGATTTCTGATCTCTTTCATTGCTGAGGTTTAATATGAAGATTTCCGGACACTTTTTAAATACAAGCACAGATTATTTCACACAGCGCATCTGACATTTCCCTGTATTTGTTCATGTCCTAATAAAAGTCTTCCTGTTTTAATTCACTCTCCATGGCAGTATATGCAGATGAGAGTGTCCCATCACTGGACTCTTACGCGTTGACACTTCCACTGATTAGATTGCTAAAAAATTGAGCGTCGAGTCACTTGAACACACCGTAAAGATTTAATTTGACACTTGCGAGGTGAATTTATAAACATGTATATGAGCAGTTACTGCCGTGATGTGCGCCAAAACACCATTTCAATTACAACTCTGCATTTAACAACGCAACTGCTGTAAAAGGCCAGACATAAGTGTTGAGCATGAATTAGAAAGTTGTTGTAAAACTGAGTATATGTGCAGAGAATTCCAAATGCAACCGATTTTAGATGATGCACGCACTTAAAACAGAAAATTGTGTCTTTTAAGCTCCATTTTTCGGCCAACAGAAACACTCAGACGAATAGTCTATTTCTAGATGATTATATTCTGGACTAATATTTGTGCTTAAACTCAACAAAGTGAATGGAGGATGATATGTAGATGGGAAAGGTTGAGTAAACACATTTTTCCTCTTGGCGCCAACAGCAAGGCCTGGGGCTAAAGAGCAATAGCGCAGCAGCTTCTATAACATCCCCTCTGCTTCCCAATGGTTGTCACCTTTGTTTTATATTCATACCTTGTCTACTTGTTATACTTTAAACCTTGAAATAAAGGCTGCAGTTGCAGTAGAAAAGTATCATTTGAGAGTTCTAGAGATGCTGTGCAAAATAACGGCCAGATGACAAAAGTCCTGAAAGTCTGTTTTTGGAGTGTATGGTTGTAAATGACTAAAGAAAGACGTCAGTCTGCCTAACAGGGCACACAGGGAGAGCAGTTAGGGAGCTGAATCAATATTAAAGCTTTACGCCTCGGGAGCAGAGGGAGGAGAGAAGGAGGAGAGGAGGAGGACGACGAGGTGCTGGTGATTCAGCAGGAGCAGGTCCCTTTCCTGGCTTGGATGACTTTTAAGGACTTCCCTCTGCTCTGCTCCTTTTGAAAGCAGGGAAGCCATCTGCACCATATAACCTCCCATCATGAGCCATTGTGTGAGCCCCCTCCCTCTCGTCTCCACTCCGGTGAAATCTGCAAACTTCAGCATGTGTAACCGAAGCAGAAAAGTTCTAAAGAGTTGTCTGAAAATGGTTATTTAAAGCTGGCTACCTTTAACTTTCCCTGCAATGTTTTATAATTACTTTGTGCCCATGGAACGTGATTGTTAAGTTTCTTGCAGTAAAAAACCATTAGCTCTACCTTAACAATTCACTTCCCTGCACTTGTTCCCCCACCTATAATTTACCGGCTGTTGTTTGACATCAGCAGCTCCTCTGCTAAAGTGCTGCTGCTGTGATTGGAAGAAATTCTGGAGTCACAGTGAAGTGTCTGACGTAACTAGGACAGAGATAATATACTGCTCCTTTAAGTTTATAACATGCACATCTGGAGAGAGTTTGTATCTGAAGGAGATTTAGGAGTCCCCTCAAGTTGAATGTTTACATTGAGGTGTTGTGTCGGAGTATTGCCAAATATGGATGTGTTACATAATGTTTTTTATGACCCATGACGAAAAGCAGATGTTTACATGCATATAGGCGATTGTCTCTGTATGTTTGCGAGAGATCATTATTTGGCTTCTTGATCCTCCTGGTCAGATGTGACCAGTGATTCTGTTTCTTGCTTAAATAAAATTATACTCTTTGAAAGCAAGTCAGTCTCAACGGCGAATTTCTTCTTCATCAAACATATCAACAACAAGGAAATGCACATCAACAGCTCCTTCACAATCAGGTATTTTCCTTAACAAAGACTCCCTACTCACGGATCTCTACCCCCTATAGCTTTTTCAATTTGGTCTAACTACAGTACATAAAAACGGATAAGGACACAAATATTCGCAAACAGACCAAGACCAACAGGTTGTGTATATCCTTAAGCCTGTGAAGGAAAAATTCAGTTTACTGTTGAGGACACGTTTTACTCACAGCTCGCATGACAAATGCAACAATAATTTACAAGTAATATTCTTGTTTTGTCTATACCGCATGGACGAAGGATTCTCACCAATAGCGAAATATCAAAGATACTCAGACTTGAAGTTTCCTTGACAATACTGTTGAGTGACACTCCTGATATAGTCATGAAGGTTTTTCTGTGAAGCATGTCTATATAAACCCAAGCGTATTGTGATTACTTCAAGCTTTCCTTCAGACTGTATTGACACTGTGAAGCTTTGTTCCTTCTACTTGCAAGAAGAATTAAACTAAACAAAGACATTGACTCATGATCCTGTCTTTTTGCATTGTTAACAGACATTTTCCAGCACAAGCCTGAAATGATTTAGATCTAATCCCTATGTGCTATACACCTTAATGAAAAAGTATTTGTTTGAACTTCAAAAAGTTAGTACAATATCTACTTAAAATTTTTTAGTTGACTGAATTTTAGATGAAAAACAGGATTTTCTGGCACAAACTTCACCAACTAACAAAGTGCATGAAGAGTGAAAGGCTTAGAAGAGTTCAAAATGCTCCAGCAACACTTGTAGTAAGAAGATGACCCTGATGAAGGCCCCGAGCGGAAACGCGTCAGTCTAAATTGTTAATAAAGTTGATCTTCTTACTACAAGTGTTGCTGGAGCATTTTGACTTCGACTGAATTTTAGATGAAAAGTTGAGATGCAGATACTGGTTGTAAACCATTCAAAACAACAACAAAAAAAGATGTTCCTTGTCAAACTAATTTTGTTCATGACCTAACCAGGATACAAGTCTTCTATCTGTGAGGCAACAGCAGTAACCACTAAATTATTAAGTTAATTTAATGTTATCTCAGTAATATATGTCTTTTAGGTCTATCCTTGATATTCTTAATTTCAATTGAGACAGATTTGGTAAACTGGAAAATATCAGTACAAACTATTGAGTTATCTCAACACTTACACTAACGTCTTGTTATGAATGTGTACACTGCAAAAATAAAAAAAAATAGTCATGGTAACTGATAATTCATGAATCACACTAAACACTTAGTGGCTGTGTTACCGAGAAACGTTGATTAAAAATCATAGACTACAAACCAACGATCATAGTCTCAGTGATGTCACCCATGGGTTTCTGAGGGCAGTTTTGAAGCCAAACAATGGTGGTTTGCGTGTGGAAAATTCTGTCTCAACCAAACTGAGACAAAGTGGTAGAACTGAGTTGGGGTTCGAAATAGATGAGTGATTAAAAAAAAAAAATCATCCCTGTCAATCAATCAAATTTGTATTTGTGTTTTACAAAAAGAGCAGGTCTAGGATGTACTCATTTTGATTTACAAAGACCCAACATTCATCCACCGTAAGCACAGCACTCGGCAACATTTAGCAAAGTAACGGTGACAAGGAAAACTGCCTCTTAGTGGGCATAAACCTCGAGTAGAATCAGACTCATGTTAAAAAGACATCTGCCAAACTGTGTGCTGCGTATAGAGTGTGGCTATGTAGACATGACCTATTAAGACCAAATGATTTTTGACATGTTTATTTCTCCTGCCAACAAGGAAGGCATTTAAACATGATTATGTATGGGGCTTCTGCAGCCAGCCTCAAGTGGACACTGGAGGATCTGCAGTTTTGACAGTGATTTCTCATCAGTATTGGCTTAAAAGATTGGTTTCAGTTCATCAACAGGGTGCAACAATTAAACTGATAATGTAATCATGTCATGTGGAAGAAGGAACAATATAACAAATGCATAAAAACGGCAGACTTTACACTTAACAAGTATCTTAACTGTATTGTCAAAAAAAAAACTAAGAAACTAATTCTTAATTATTTGCAGATTTCCTATACCATATAAATGGCATGAGCGGTGTCCCTTTTTATTGATGCCAGACTATTCATTTATTTTCTGAATTTCTTGCAAACATCTTAATTGCGCAACAAAGATTCACTATGGCACCTGAAGTTTGTGATGCCTTTAACAGTAAACAACACTGAACTGTACTGGTTGTGTATCTCTCCTTATCATTTTCACTCCACCACCCTCTCTGCAGGCTTTAGTGGAAATTTCAGGGAAAACAAGTGTTTGCGAGAGAGGAAAGACAGGGAGAGCAAAGAGAAATGGAACACACCCCGCTGGCTGTTTAACATGCCCGCTTTGACTTGCCCTGGGCAGTGCCCCTTCAGGGATCCTGCTGCCATCTTTAATGTGGTTCTATTACTCTGAAAACTGCAGTGAATTATTTGAGATAAAGCCTTCAAGGACAGTCTGAATGCTTTAAGATTTCTCCTGCACAACACATTACAGGTGATAAGGTGATAAATAGGCATAGGCGCAGATATTTCTTCAAATTGTTTTGATTTTTATGGTAAATTCCCAAGGAACACAGGTTTCCTTGCTCTTTAGGAGCGCTTGACTACACTTGTTATATTCTCCCTCAGCTGATGGATGATGATGATAATGATGAAAAGCTGGACTGGGAGGTTGTGGTTTCACTGCTCAGTTGGTTGTGTGTCTCCAGAGAGTCAACACCATCAGTTGTTTTTTTTGTGTTTTCCTTTTAATGAAAATCTCAGTTGTGTTTGTGTTTTGAAAGCATATTTCTTTCAACCATTTCTGACTTCTTCTATTACCCCTCTGTTCATTGGCAGCCACTTCTCTTTTGTTTTTGCTCCAATTGATGCTTGTCTCTCATTGTGATAGAATCAGTTGGATTTTTTTGGAGGGCTACGTTCTTCTGCCACCTTTAAGAAACCCAAGGCCCACTTCGTTGGTACCCTTTTGTAACAGGTGCAGTGTTTTGTCAGTTCCCCAACTCGCGACCTGTTATTAAGATTTTATTTTCTGGGGGTGAAAGTAACTCTGGTATATACATACATTCACCTGAGTATACTTCATAATTTGGATGAAAACCTTTTTATGAAAGAACATTTTCTGTCCTCTAATCCCACTGGCTTTATTCATTACATGTGCTGCCACTACAAAAAATGCTAAGTGGAAACGGAGGAAACAGGAAACATCT